TGTGGGGCATGAGCCATACAGACACACCAACAGGATAATTTTTTCTTCCAGTCTCTCTCCCCTGGCCTTTCTCTGCTTGGGGGCTACCTTGATTTAGCATCTATATGATTTGTTCAGATGGGGACTCAAATCTCCCCTGAGTCTGAGGCCCACCAGTCACTAGGATTGCTACTTATTAGAAGGGAGGCCTGATGCCCTGATGGAGAAATGCTCCTAAAATGAACTCTTCCTTTCTTCTGGAGCCTTTCCTGTTCTGGAGACAAGCATCTCTAAGATCTTACACAGCATCTGTAAGATCCACAAATACAGCCCTTTCTTATCACAAACTACTAGACCAGCGGTTCTCAACCTGTGGGTTGCGACCCCTTTGGGGGTTGAACAACCCTTTCACAGGGGTCGCCTAAGACCATCAGAAAACACATATATGATTACATATTGGGGGTTTTTTGTTTGTTTTTTTAAAAATATATTTTATTGATTTTTTTACAGAGAGGAAGGGAGAGAGATAGAGAGTTAGAAACATCGATGAGAGAGAAACATCGATCAGCTGCCTCCTGCATATCTCCTACTGGGGATGTGCCCGCAACCAACGTACATGCCCTTGACTGGAATCGAACCTGGGACCTTTCAGTCCGCAGGCCGACGCTCTATCCACTGAGCCAAACTGGTTTTGGCTACATATTGGTTTTGTGATTAATCACTATGCTTTAATTATGTTCAATTTGTAACAATGAAAATACATCCTGCATATCAGATATTTACATGACGATTCATAACAGTAGCAAAATTACAGTTATGAAGTAGCAACGAAAATAACTTTATGGTTGGGGGTCACCACAACATGAGGAACTGTATTAAAGGGTCGCAGCATTAGGAAGGTTGAGAACCACTGTACTAGACAGACCAATGAGGGCAGGTCGGCCTTGTCCAACCATGGTCTCCCTAGTGCCTGACACATGGTAGATGCTCCGTAGACCTATGTTGGATGGATGGATTGGTAATGTATGGAGGGAAGATGGATGGATGGACGGACAGATGGATGAAATGGTAAGTGAATGAATGAGTAAATGAGTGAACAAATGAATGGAAGTTGGAAGGATGTCTCACAGAGCATTCAGCCCTTGGAGCCGATCTCTGGATGAGAGACTCACCTGAGCCATCAGGAGTGGACCTTACAAACGTTGGCAACATCTTGACTGTGGCTGTCGGATTAAAATCCCGGGAAAGACCATGCCTCATCTCCTTCTTGAAACGGGTCATGATATCTATCAGAGTTTCGTCGGAGAGCCGCATGGCATAGAGATACTTGTCAATCTGGGGGAAGGATGAGAAGGAAGGACAGTGAGGCCAAGGCTGAGGAAGGGCATTCCAGTTCAGGTTTGACTGAGGGAGGACAGGGCAGGTGAGGTGCCCACCTGTCCAAGATAATCCAGCTCCCACGGGCACTTGACCAACCGTGCTGGCCCATCACAAGATGGGAAGTCATCAAATGCCATCAGCCAGGTCACTCGGGGCGTGCTTGCAAATGCTCTGAGCCCTAATGCCTCCCCTGTAAAATGAGCCAAATATCTCCAAGGTCCCTTTCAAGCCTCAAATATGACATGGAAGCTGCCCTTTGACAGCCCCCCTCCCACAAGACATGTCAGAGGCGCCTGAAGCCTCCACACAACCCCTTCCCTCTTTGACAAGTGGCTGGCTCATCCTCATGTGAATGGAAGTGCTACAGAGGTGAGGAATGAGAGCTCCAGGACCAGAAACCTGGAGTTCAAATCCCAGCCCGACCGCTTAGCAGGGGTGTGAACTTCAGGTTCTTCAACTGAAAAAGTAAGACAATAAATGGGACCTAACTCACAGAATGTTGTACGATCAAATGAAATGGAAAAGCACCAAAGACACAGAAAGTGTTTGATAAATATCACCTATTATTACTAACACTAGAGGCCCGGTGCACAAATTCGTGCACCAGTGGGTTCCCTCTGCCTGGCCTGCAGGATCAGACCGAAACTGGCTCTCTGACATCCCCTGAGGCGTCCCAGATTGCAAGAGGGCGCAGGCCAGGCCGAGGGACCCCACCAGTGCACAATTGGGGCTGGGGAGAGACACGGGAGGTTGGCCAGCCAGGGAGGGACCACAGAGGGCTCCAGCGCGTGTCCGGCCCATCTGGCTCTGGCTGGACCCCAGCAGCAAGCTAACGTACCAGTTGGAGCATCTACCCCCTCGTGGTCAGTGCATGTCATAGCAACTGGTTGACCAATTGACTGCCCTCTGGTAGTCAGTGCACGTCATCGCGAGCAGTAGGGGCAGCAGGCCCAGAGCAGAGACCTTAACCCCACGATCCCCAGAGGATATAGAAACAGTCCCCCAGGCTTCCATGCCCGTGTACCAGGACTGATGTGATCAAGTTTCCAAGTCATTCCATATACTGACCCAACCTGCTCCTCCTCCTGGTTCCCCCTGTTCCTCAAGGTTCCCAGGTTCCTAACCTCAGGCTCCCTGATTGTCACTGGTTGTTCTTTCTTCATAGTCTCTTCCCATTTATTCTCTCAAAAAGCATTTATTGGGCACATACTATGTGCCTAGCCCTGGGCTAGATACCTATCCTCATGGTGTCTGTCTGCATGGAGTTCACCAGAAGTCATTTTGAGCCATCATTCATTTTTTTTTGCCACTCCTTGGTACCTGCATGCATGGATTACTGATTTCTGATTACTCATTCATTCACTGTAATAGTTTTCCATTTTCAATCCCTCAACCTTCCAATTAATCCTCTTAGACGCTGCCACACTCACCTTCTTAAACTGCAACACTGGTCAATTCAGTCCCCCGCTCAAAGCCTTGCAATGCCTCCCCATGTCGGAGGCACCTGTGCTCTGTAGGTGTGGCTCGTGCTCCGTGAACTCCAGCCCAACTACCTCTGCCATTCCTGGCAGGTGCTGGGCTTCCCTACTAAAATGCCCTTCCTTCTCTTCCCAAATCTCACGTACCCTTCCACGTTCAGATCAAATGTCACCTCCTCCTACGGATGCCCGAGTCCCTCAGGCTAGAGATAACCCCTCCCTCAGCACTGATGTCTGCCCAAGCTCTAGCCTGGATCACAGCTTTCTGCATGTATCCAAGTGCCTGGCAGGCAGCCTTGCACACAGAAGGCTCCTGGTGCACAGAGACAGATTTATGACCCAGTGAGGCTGAAAAGGCCTTGACTCTGATTTGCTTCTGCAAATGGCATCTCACGCTCACTTTTCAGGGTGACTGGAAATGTCCTGATTCAAGGACACAGAGGCTCCAGTCCCAGGTCACTCTGCCTATTTTGCTCCTGGGCAGCCATCTTGCTTTGGTCTCTATGCTGGTGCTCTCCCAGGCCCTGCCTGCTCCTGCCTCCCTGACAATCAAGGCATTGGCCAAAGTCCCCCAGGGTCCTCCGTGGCCAGAGACCATCCTGGCCCCGCCGCCAATCTCTTCTACCACACCCCCACCTTGCCTTTCCCCTTCGTGGCAGAGCATTGCAAAGAAGGGCAATCAGAAACCACCGAGCGCTGAGCTAGAAATGACCAGAACCACAGCCCTACGAAGAGACATGCTCTGTTCTGCCCCCAAGGTCAGCAGCACCGGATCAGCAGTCCTTGCCACATGGCACCCACAGGAGCACACGGGGGTCTACTGAGTGCACGCCAGAGAAGGCTTCCGGGAAGGGTGATGGCCAGGTGCATCCAGGAACAGCAAGAGCGTGTGGGAAGGCTGAAGGCAAGGGAGGGTGGTTTGTGCAATGAACAGAAATAAACTCCATGTGCATCCAGCACACAGTGTAAGTGGGGCAACTGGAAAGAGCTAAACCGTGCAGGGCTTTATAAGCCACATAAATACATTTAGATTAACCCCAAAGCACGGCAGCCGTGGAGTGACTCGAATGAGTATCCGCCAATGAGATCTGTGTTGAGAATAGATCAAGCTGTGTATGGGGTAGAGAACGGGTGAGCAGGAGCAAATCCGTGCAATAGTCACATGGCTACTCTAGCATTTTGGGCATGCTTCAACTGCCGCACCCCTCACCCCACAATATGACGATCAATTTACTGACTTGTCCATCTCGTCTGATAATGTGTGAGTCCCCCAGGGAAAGGAAAGATCAAATAGACCTTTGGAACTCACCCAGTTGCCTCGTACAAAATAGGAATTCAATTATTATCAGATGTTGGAATAATACTTTATCATTATACTAGAGGTCCCATGCACAAATTTCATGCACAGGGGTGGAGAGGGGGGTCCCCTCTGCCCAGGCTGCACCCTCTCCAATCCAGGACCCCTCGGGGGATGTCCGACTGCCGGTTTAGGCCCTATCCCATATTACCTCTTTATTATATAGGATTGTGGTTTACCAATGATTTCACATCCAGCATGTCATTTAACCTTCAAAACGACCCTGTCAGCGAGACTCATACCCTCTTTTTGGCCTCCTTTTTCACATCTCTTTGGAAATGAGATCCACTTCACTGTTGCAGAAACTGAGGCTCCCAGAAGCTAAGTGATTAGTTCAAAGCACACGACCAGAAGTCGGGTCTCATACCTGCAAGTCTAATGCTGTCTTTAACAATCATGCCCGTCCCCAAGGGAAGGCCTGTCCCTGTGGAGGGCAGACCAAGGAAAGCTGCTGAGGTTTTCCAGCTGGACAGGGAGAAACTTCTAGAAAAGGCAGGACTCTCCATTGCTCCATCCTGTCTCCTAGGTCAAGGTGCAGCTCAGCACAAGAACCCGGATCTGAGAGTCCTGACGTTGTAGGACAGCCAAGCCAAACCCAAACGGAGCCTAGAAGCTCAAATCAGAAAGCCGGCTGGGAACAGAGAAAACCTGCCTTCTCTGGCTCAGGTTCATGAATCAGCATGTGGCACCCCCCCCCAAGGAGATGTAGGACATGAGGCCAAAAAGGGTACAAGCCGGGGCGGAGCTGGCCCTGAACCTGAGGCCTCCTGGGTGTCATGTGAATGAGGATACACCAAGGGGAGCCCTTCCCACTGGTCCGAGGGAGCTCAGACGGACGGGGCCTCCAAAGAGAGGAGCCTGGGAGCGGGGCTGGCCAGATACCCACCACCCTGGGCACCTCTCCACACAAGGGGCCTCTTTCCCCTCCTGCAGACCAGCTGTGGCTGCCGCTGGCTGGGCGGCTGCTGTCCCCCTGGGGTGGGGACTGAGGATGGTGGTGGTGGAAGGAGGCGGGAGAGGAGGATGTCAGGGAAGCCACCCCTGCCATTTTCTCCAGATCTCGGAGAGGCTGTGCTCTGCAGGAAACCCCGTAACAGAACTGCTATTTCTTTCTCCAGAGGGTGGGGCCAGAAGCCCAGGACGGGTGAGATGGCAGAGGGTTCAGACCTGGAAAAGGACAGCTTCTGGTCTTGGGACGTTTGGCAAAGCGTGTGGCCCTTTCAGCTTTTCTACTTCCGTCCCCTCTCCACCGCATCTGCAGGTCCCTTCCTCCCCTCCCCTTCTCACACTGCCATCTCCACAGCCCTTCCTCTCCTCTCAGGACTCGCCCTTCACTGCTCTGGCCAAACACTGTGCCCCAACCACCCCTCCTGTGCCTCCGACCCCAGCCCTACATTTGGGTGACCAGAGGGCACAGCACCTCTTCTAGCGGCTACAAGCAGCCAGGCCAGTCTTGGGGACATCTGTCCTAGGATGGAGACTCCCAGGTGTCCGGGCCCCGAGTGCCCACCCTGGCACACAGGACTCGGGCCAGGCTGGGAGGAAATGGGAGGTGCCAGGGCCAGACACCACCAGCCCGGCGAGTCCCGCAGACACTTGGCCGAGACGGACGAGGACCATGGGCAGCCTCCAGAGCACCTTTCACTTGAAGGGACCAGCCCTTGTCCCGAGAGCGAGAGCCAGGTCGGCCGCACAGGATGGACACTCGCCCAGATACTAAGCAAGCACTTGTCCTGGACTGTCCTTCCTGCAGACCAGGAGGGCCCGAGCTCTCAGCAGCTCAGGAGATGTCAGAGGGAAGAACGTAGCCTCATCCAGTGCCTGGCCCAGAGCCGTCAGCTAATGAGCACACACAGGGGCCACGCACTGTGCTAAACGCCACCATTTCTGTGCTCGACCCCAGTGCCCCCCTGCTCCCAACAGAACATGCACTAAATATCAATGCCAGACCGGGCGTGCCCAGTGAGCGAACAGGCCAGTCGTGGCAGGAGGTGTGACCACTGGTGACCCGGCCATTTTGACCTTCTGTGGAGGGGGGCGCAACCATGGAAAATTTTCACCTCCTCTCTCGTCCTCTCCTGTGAGGATCAGGAATGAGGCAGAGATCGCCCTGGCTGGTT